TTCCTTCAGAAATTTATCTCTTATATCCCATCTTCGCTTTGAGTGAGGGATCAAATCATGCGATTCTTGTGCCGTAGAACTTACCTTGAACATGATTGGTTATTGATTGTAAGAGAACAGTCTCTTATACTCGGTCTCTGATTTCGAAGACATCTCCTTCACCGTCGCTGCATCAATGAGGATGCAGTTGGGAGTACCTTTCAATTTGAAGAGAAGGATAAGTGCCTGAGAGGGATGCGTTATCTGCTGACATCGAGTCACATGGTTGGTAAAAACCCCAGGTTGTTATTGCACAACTCTCGAAGAGGGATAAATCAACGTTGGTACTGGCACTACCAGCTGGCTACTTCAAGATTCAGCTCATCCGAGAGCTGATAGTGCCGAACCACAGGTACAATTTGTGATCCGAGCAAGATATAACCTTGGCACAAAACAGAACGGCTGTGGTGCCCAAGTGACATCCGGGCTCGATAGCTATCCTAACAGATTGTGGGTTGTTTGCGATGTAGGCTCTACAAGAAGACAAGTCAACGGAATGGATTTTCAGCGCGCGAATCCACATTGAGGTACGGAAACCCCGCGGACGACGTCGAACCCCAATCTAGCCGACCATTTTGCATAATATGTAAGCCGGAGTCACGAATCACGATCATGTGCACAAGTTTTTGGCATCAACAGCTTTGAATTGCGGACAACAGAAAGACCCAGCAGCATACTTACATCCAGATGAAAACCCATTTCCTCGCCAACAAACCCAACCAGTTAAACGAGTGACTCCATACCCAACTCAACAAGCTTTCAAAAAGACAGAAAGAAAGAATTGCACATCAAAGATGGCTGTTGAATCCTATTCTGATGTTGGTGTATTTGCAGAAGAGAAGAGGTGATAATAAGAAATATTCCAATGGTTATGATTCCGAAATAAATAAAAATTCAAAGTAATTGGAGAAGATCAACTCCCCATGAAATTGGAAGTAATTTCAAAACATTGCTTGTCAAGGTCGGTATGATGTTCAGATAGAATGTGTGAAAAATAATTTACTGATACTTTTTTGGATGGAAAAGCTTTTTTGAGGAAGCCAAAAAGTGTAGATACTATTTTACTTCAAGAAATCCCAAGAGGAAGCACAAACAAATGATCAGTTAGTCCTGGTAAAACAAAATGGGCAAAAGAGGAAAAAGTCTAGGGCTTTTGGATGGTTCAACTCCAAATTACAGAGATAATTTACAGGCATTCTAGTTTCTTCTTCTGTGTTTTTTTTTGTGATCATGAGATTATGCTACATTCAAGAGACAAAATTCAATCCATTGTGTCCAGTTGGGGAATATGCATTTTGAAAAATTTCCACCAAAATTACTCACTCTGGCAGTTGCATTTAATGGAATGAACATTGAAGCAAAACCATCATAAGGAGTTGGAGAATTTTGTTTGGGGCTGGGGCGTAATTCTGTGGTGGGTTGGAATGCCCTCGGAATCTAACACAGCACAGCGTTTCCGTTTTTTGTTGAGTTTGACTGATTGATGAAACATATTGGCGCGGAAAAGTCTCGAGTCCAGCCCAAAGGAACAAACGAAAAAGTTGCACAAGATCTGTGGCAAGGAAGGTTTTCCAGCTATTCTGCTTCTCTACGCGATCGATTCAGCTTTGTGACCGCTGATTTCACGGGAGGAAGGATAAAGCTCTTCAGCCCATCGGTGCATCTCAGGTAACAAGCTTGCCTTTCCGCAAGCAATTGTTCCATGCAAGCGGTCGGACGATCTGGACAGATGGTGTACAGGTTAGGACTAGTGGTATGATTTCATGTTTGTGGTTAGTTTGTAGTCAATGAAAGGAAGGAAGAATAACGATAATTATGGGAGAAAAGAGGGCTGGAGATGGGTTCAAAGAAGAAAGAAACACTTCAACTAAATAATCCTGAGGGCATTAAACACTTGGTGAGCAAAGGTCTTCATGTGAATGTAGTTTACTATAACTGTGTACAAAACAGCAAAAGAAAAGAGACTATCGGGCGCAGATGGATCATCAGCAG